TATATATATATTCTACTGGCGATTCTTTTATTTTTTAAAACATTATGATATTAAAGGAGGCATCCTATTACATAATAACAAAAGACCCAATAGAAAAACTGGCAAAGATGGGAGAAAATTGGAGCAACCAATTAATTTTACCCATTATACTGGCAAAAATTTAGAACATATAAAATCAACTCTTGGCCAGCATGTGAGTAAACGGGGCTCCCAGACACTGGGGGAATGAAGGGAAGGACTCAGCCTTCTACAGCAAACTGGAATAAAATGAGGGTGTGAACCTGCGGAGCTATACAGTGGGGACACACTGGTAGTTTCTATTAATATTCAATACACACAAGTCCTAGCTATGCTAGACGGTTTCATATTTGTTATCCACCCTACAGAAACATGTATGCATAAGGATGCTTATTGGCAAATCATTTTTTTTTTTTTTGCAGTCTGTGAATGTGTGTGGAATGGCTGAATGGCAGCATTCTTAGTTTGCAGGAAGTCTAAGTAGATTAATAGTGTTAGAAAGTCCTATATGAATTGCATGAAAATTTCAAGCTATTTTAATGTATGGAGAGGGCCAATTTCAAAAGAAGACATAAAATATAAAACATTTTTAATAAATAAATGGAACAGTTTGCATTTCTTATGGGCTGAGATATAGAGAAGTCTGTGGTGGGACAGACCAAATTCATGACATCAATTACCTCCACAGTAACAGGGAAGGGACTGGAACCGGGTGTACTGATCAGAAGGGATTTTAGCACTACAATATTTTTAGTTTTCCAGTAAGGGAGTTTCTATATTACTCATCTGATAAAAAATCAATATTTGAAAAAAGGAAGCATTCTGCGAGGTGTGGTAGAAAACACCCTTCAGCGTCACGTTGTAACCTCATCTGCCACTTACTGCTTTTGCCTTCTTGCAGAAAAGCCACAGTGATCATCATCATAAGACAAAGAGGAGGGGCTGGGGCTGGGGCTCAGTGGTAGAGCACTCACTTAGCACGTGCGAGGCGCTGGGGGGGTTCGAGCCTCAGCTCCACATAAAAATAAATAAGTAAAATAAAGGTACTGTGTCCAACTACAACTAAAAACAAAAAAAAAAAAGGACAAAGAGGAGGCACTCACCTCAGGAAGATGTCTAAGGTTCACATGACATGAAATATCAAATGCCATATGAAATTAATTAAGTACAAGTAGAAGTAACCAAGCACATTGGGATTTGGAAATGGGACAAGAATTTTTCCTTCAGCTGTAAAAGTATCCTGATAAGGAAATACTGGAATCGAATCAGTTTCCCCTCTGTGGAATTACCAGGTTGGGTATAACCAAGGTTCTGGGGCCAGCTAGGTTTCTTCTCCAGCTGATGTCCCTTTCCCAATCCAGGGCTTGGTTTCACCGTTTACAGAGTGCAGGGTTTCATTAGGTACCCCTTAGGTGCACATCCAGTTTTGATCCTTGGTAATTCTGTGGAGTCACTCTCCTCTAAGTTGACCATTTTAGAAAAGGCATGTTAAAAAAAAAATACAGTTTATCAGGTGCTATTTCCTTCAAACAAGATGGGAGAAGCCCATTCTTGACCTATCTGAAGCAGGATACGTGGATATCACTCCAGCAAATTTCAACATAACAAAACTCTCCAAACTTCAAGCTACCAGGGCAACATAAAGACAAGTAAAAAAAAAATAGTGATAGTCAGACCATCATTTTCTTACATTAAAAAAGGGAATGCTCACACCGAACCCAAAATGACATGTCAAAGTGACAGAGACTTCATTAGACTATTCTTTGACAGTCTTTTATGCATCAAGCATGGAACCAGGTCCTCGGATACAAGAAATAAATCAACCTGTCCTGCCCTCTCTGAGCCTACAAAGCGTCTGCACCAGAAAAAGTGAAGAGAGCAGTTACTTTGGGTGACAAGTTCTCTGATGCAGGAACTCCTGCAGGTGGAGGAGAACTCAGCAGAAGCACCTAGACCAGAATTCAGTCTACAGGGTGGATAGGAAAAGGCTGACTAGTGGAGACCAGAGGTTGCTTGGAGTTTCTTGGAGAGGAAAGAAAGAGACAGAAAGAATAGCACAATGTGGTCTTGAGGGAGAGAGGGAACACAGTGATTTTCCTTGGAACAAAGGTGTTCTCTCCTACAGGACGTATTTAAAATTCATACCCGAATAAACGCAGACTTTCAAAACAGTATCGCCATTAGATATTGTCTAATCCTGGAATCATAGATAGTCAGAGTTCTCACTAGGGTCCCTCACTTCACACATGGAAGAGGCAGAGCAATTCAGTGTCAATGCTAATGACAGGGAAGCAACCTTAGCTCAGGCAAGTGTCTGCAGAAAACCCCGGGGTGCAAAGGGTGTCACTGGCCAAAGCTAAGTGGTGCATTACATCATTCAAAACCTGGAAACAATGTGCAGGAAAGAAACCTTGAAGCCCTTCCCCAGCAAATCAAAACAAAACGAAAAGCAAACAACACTCCCATAATAAAGAGAATAATAAGAATTATAGCAAGGGTTCTTACTAGAACAAATTGCTCTGACTCTAACTGATACATAGCTCCTGAAGGTGACAGTTCTTATCCCCATTTACCTCTGTCTTCTCTTAAATTGTCATTTTCAACATAAGCACAAGTTACCCTAACCCAAAAGCTCCCAGATCAATCTCATGGTGAACACCTGGGTAACACGAGCCCTTATAGGGGAAGGTTCCAGAACACTTACCCAGATAAATCCACCCGAACTGCATCACCAGCCAGAGAAGGAGAGGCCCTTGGGACATTTTGACAGGAGTCTGTCTGTCTGTCTGTCTATTCAAGACCCATTTCTTATACCACGCTTACTGCTGACAGGGTAGGACATTTCAGTTTCAGTTCTCTCTTTGTCTCATTATCTTCCCTTTCCCCCATCCTGAATAGCCTCCCTCAATTTGGGATCTGTGATAAAATGTGCTGAGCACTTTTGTCCTGGTGATAAGTGTGTGTGCACAAATGTGTGGAGTGACGGTGGGGGTGTACATGTGCCTCTGTTCACGCTCGTCAGGGAATCTCCTATGTGTGCATGAACATCCATGTGTTTGCTCACCTGCTATGTGCATGTGTAACTTGGGCATGGCCATGGTCACCCCAACTCCTATAGTTTTTGTGACAAAGTGCAATTTAATCTTCCCACTAGCAATTGTTTTCCTGTGGGTTCCCCAGTGTAGCCAAGGATAAGTTAGATGGATTTGGCTCCACTTCTATTCTGGATTCTCCTTCACCCTCTACCCTGGTCACCTTGCTCTGATAATGCAGGAAAAGCAGGGCTGCAACCAATCATCAAAAACACCATCACCATTTACTGAAAAAGAGAAGAGGTTCCCAACCTAGCTGCCCTTCAGCAGAAGAACAGATAAAGAAATATGGTACATCTTTACAATGGAATATTAGTCATAAAGAAGAATGAAATTATAGAATTTTCTGGTAAGTAGATAGAACTGGAGATTATCATGATAAGTGAAATAAGCCAGTCCCCAAAGACCAAACAAAGGTTGAATGTTCTCTGATATGTGGATACTAACACACAACAAGGAAAAGGGAGAGAAGAACAGAAGTTCACTGGATTACACAAAGGGAAATGAGGGGAAGGGAGCAGGCATGGGAATAAGAAAGACAGTAGAATAAATCCGACATAACTTTCCTATGTCCATATGTGAATATACGACCAGTAGAACTCCACATCATGTTCAACCACAAGAATGGGATCCTAATTAGAATAAGTTATAATCCATGTATATTAATATGCCAAAATATCTTCTACTATCATGTTTATCTAAAAAGAACAAATAAAATAATTAAAAATAATTTAAAAAAAAAAAAAGAAAGAAAAGAGAGCCAGGTATGGTGCACACCTGTAATCCCAGCAGCTCAGGAGGCTGAGGCAGGAGGATCGGGAGATCAAAACCAGCCTCAGCAAAAGTGAGGCCCTGAGCAACTCAGTGAGACCCTGTCTTTAAATAAAATACAAAATAGGGCTGGGGATGTTGCTCAGTAGTCAAGTACCCCTGAGTTCAATCCCTGGTACAAAAAAAAAAAAAAAAAAAGAAAAAGAAATAAAAGAAAAGAGGTTCGATAGAGGAGCATACTGTTGTACAACAGACAGAGATCTAGGCCCCAAACCACCACTTGTTAAAGAAGCCATTTAATAGGGCAAAGCACAAAAGACAACCCATGAACCAGACTACAGGGGTTGGCACAGGTGATTTTGGTGACTTCTTTGGATTCCATAGATGAAGCAGTACAATCATATCTCTAAGAACAAGGTAGTTGAAGAATCAATTCAATGCTTAGCAACCAGACGTGTTCTATAAATCAGGATTTTTTTTCATCACTAGTGCTTATTGAGGACTTAATTATACGCTAGGTATTCATCTCAGTCATACAGTATATTATTTAATATTCCCAACCTTAGAAAATAAATATCATTTTTCCTGTTTAACAGGCAAGGGAAATGAGGCTTAAGAGTATTTAAAAACATGAGTCATTACCCACAGCTAAAACGTTGTAGAAATAGGTCTCAAACTCAGACTTCCTGATCTCAAAGTCCACACTTTTGATCTCTAATCACATTCCCTTTTGACCTGTGACCCTAGGATAGTGCTTCCATAAGACCAAACCTATCCTATCTAGCACTAGAGAGGAAATTTAAAGATTCACCAATGTTCTAGATTTTTTAAAAGCCTCATTTAATTATGTCAAGCTAAGTGAGCTGCAAACATTCAATATTGCTTACTCAGAGAAAATATAAACATCAATTCTTACCACTGATAGCGTGTGGACTGTGGGATCCTTTCCCACCCTATCCCCAGGAAACTGGAAGAGTTAATCTCTGGATAAACTGAATTGGCCTATAAAACATTTACAGATGTTGATATTCAGGTGTACCCCAACAATGACACCCAATGCCCCCTCAATACAGCCAGCATGTCTGACCTCTGCCATGGATACAGAACGTGTCCTAGCTTTCAGTGTGTCTCTCCTAGATGTGAATGGACACATGAAGCTCAGCCAAGAGTGAGGAAAGCCTACAACTTGAACAAGAAACAAAGGCAATGAGGAGAGCAGGGGGGAAATTTTTAAAATATTTTTAGAAGATGGTATCCCCCCCCGAAAAAAATATTTTACATCAATGAAGAAGAACAGAGAAAGTATAAAAAGGAAAAAAAAATCAGACATTGAGAAAGCCCTGTTGGAAATTAAGAATATGTCTCTATGCTAATATTTCATGAAAAGTTTTGGGATAGAGGTAATATTTGAAATATAAAGTGAAGGAAATTTGCTAGAAAGTATAATAACCTAAAATGCCAAATGACTAAGGTTTTTCTAGTACATTTTCAAGAACGGAAAACAGAAGGAAAGGAATTATTAAAGCAATATTTAAAAAGAAAAAAAAGATTCCCAAGCTCGCATTATATAAGAGATCTGAGTCTTCAGATTGGGATGACAACTAAATGCTAATCCATGAATGAAAAGATGTCCACAAAAAATGATTACTGCACTACCATGCAATGTGAGAACATCAGACATGAGTACAGACATTATAAAAGTTCAGAGAGAACATAAAAACATATTGCATTGAAAGGATTTAGAACCAGATGGTTTTGATCTTCTAAAGAACAAAGCTAGAGAAGAATGCAGGAGAAATGTTTTTTTTCAAAATTCTGAAGGGAAAATGATTTTCAACCTAGAATCTTATTTCCTACCAACTTATTACTCAAATGTAAAAATATAATAAAGACCTTTTTTGGACATAGATTAATACAAAATTTACCTCTCCTGCCCATTTCTTAGGGAGCTTTGGGAGAGAAATCTGTAGCAAAACCCTAGAATTAACCAGGAAACAAAAATCACAGGATCCAGAAAATAGGATATCGATTCAAGGGATGGAAAATTCCAGAAAGACAGCTGCAGGGCAGATCTAGAGAACATCTGTTTCAGTTCTCTGTCCCTGAATCACAAACCACCCCAAAACTGAGTGCCTAAACAATTTACTTTTCACCTCCCTGGGTTGACTGTGCTCAGCTGGGCAGTTCTCATTCAAGTTCGATGGCTGGAGTTGGAGTCATCTCAAGACTAACTGGGCTGTTTGACTGTTCCTCAGAGGTCTAGTGAACTGAGCGAGGGGCTGGACTGGCACCTTTCACTGTCCACATGGTCTTTTGACTTGGCATCCTAAGCTTCCTTACAGTATGACAGTATGGATTTTTTTACATACTATCTGGCTTTCTCAAAAAATCAGCATTCCAGCAGGCTCAGGAATAACCCGCAAAGATTTCCTTCCTACGCGACCTAGCCTCAGATGTTGTTCAGTATATTTTCTATGATACTCTACTAGTCAAAGATCAAATTAGAAGGCATCACAGATTCAAGGTGGAGGTAGACAAATGTTCTGAACAATAGGAAGGGTGGTTCAGTGGGATTTGTTGGGGAAGCATCTTTGGAGTCATATGAGAACTCTCTTTAACTATCTGTGATCTTTCTGTAAATCTGAAGCTGTCATCAAGTAAGTTTATTTAATACGTGTTTATTGCACATATTCCTTTATCTTACATAGAGAAATGCTAATAACAATTTGGTATCCAGAGGGATTCATGGACAGACTTTCAGGAATGTACAAATAACCAAAATTGGATGCTTGGTTTATATTAAATGTGTTACTAAAGGGACAGTCCATTGCATTCCTGGGTATTTTGTGTCTTTGCCACCTTCTCTGCATGTGGAGACAGGCCTCGGGAGAATCAAATCAACACAGCGTTGATTTCATTCATGACCATAATGATTGGCAGGTGACCCAAAGAAAGTCAAGATTACACACTGGAGATGTGTACTGGGTCTTTGAGAGATAGGGACCCTCTTTATTTCTAACTGATCTTTGAGGTGTGAGAATGTGACCTGAAGCAGGTGTTAGCCACTGTACCGCCAATACCAATGAGTGATCCCTGCCTGATGAAGAAACCAATCAAGCAGAAGGCCAGTGGAGAAACAGAGAAAGGTTCACCCAAGCCCATGACACGGTGTGAACTCCTGAAGCTAGCTCATCCGTGACCAGCATTCTCTTCTGGGCTTAAGCCAATTTGTGTCAGGTTTTCAGTCATTTGGAATTTTAAACCTAGAAAGACTTTTGCACAGTGGTAACTTGAGTGGATGATTTTAAAGTTCTTCTAACCTTAAGAGGTAGTAGCCCTATTATCTGGTCCAATCACCCGCTTCACCAAATGCCTGATTTACCTCAACTTTTCAATCTTTCAGCAAGGGCTTTTTAAAGTATTTTGCTCCAGGCATGTGAGAAAGTCATTAGGCTCTGCGAATAAAAACCAATAAACCATAGATACTATTTTTTAAGGACTTGATATTTTCAAGCAGAAGAATTTTCAATCCCCATTTTCCAGATAAAACATCTAGAGACCAGAAAGGATAAAAGGCTGTTACCTAATGGCATGAAAATAGAATGCAGGTCTTTATCATGGAGAGATCCTGATAGCAGCTAGTACTCCCTTTCTGATAAATAGCATTACGTGAAATCCCATGCATTCATTTTTATTCATTCATTTCTTCATCAGCTATAGCAATGGAAGGCAAACTGTAACCCATGAACAAAATTCAGCCCAACGCCCATTTTTGTAAATAAAGTTTTATTGCAACAGAGCCATGTCCATTTTTAACACAATGTCTGTGACGGCTTTCCAGCAACGATGGCAGAGTTGAGTAATTGTAACAGATATCATATGTGCCACAAAACCAAAAATAGTTACTCTCTGGTTCTAACAGAAAATGTTTGCAAACCCTCAAAGGCAAGGAAGAAGGGCAAGTGCAGAG